AGAGGACCAAGGATTGAGAAGCCACGTCTTGAGAGGGCTAGAGTTGAGAAACCACGATCTGATAGGCCAAGAGCTGAGAGACTTGTTCAAGCCCCTTGTGTGCTTGATGAAGAGAGCCTTCAAGCTTTGTTTGATGAGCCACTAGGAAGGGCTCTAAAAGAAGGGGAGGATGTAGCCTCTAAGGCAAGACCAGGGATAAAAGAAAGGATCCACCAGCTCAGGCCCCTTCAGTCAAGCCATCTCAGCTCACAATGACTTTGTTCCCCACCAAGTTTGAAAATGGGAAGATTGAGTACAAGATAAGGTACAAGGGGAGATCAAGGCCATTCTCTAGAGCCAAGGCCTTGGTGACTTCAGAACAGTCCAGGGACCCAACCAAGCTAAAGGAGCTTCTGTCTCAAGTCCTCACTATCACCCTTGATGGTGGGACTAGCTCAACCAATGCCTAAGAAGGTAAAGGTCAAGCTATGGGACCTTAAACAAGCTCACTTGGGAGGAAGTCCCATGTTTATCCTTGTACATACTCTATTTATGCAATTTCTATCTATCTTTATGTTTTAACCTTTGAATAAGTTAAGTTTAGGTGTCAAAAGCCAGCTCGACCGATAGCTCGATCGAGCTAGAAACCAGGGCAACTCGATCGAGCTACACAACTCGACCGAGGTAAGTTTTTGAATTTCAAATTCATAACCGTTTTCTTGGTCAAGGGAGTGGGTCCCACAAGCTGATTTTGGTCCCCCACTACCCTAATTTGATCAGAGAATCCCTAGTTTCTTGTTCCCTCTTTATTTCATCTTTTAATCTCAACCACACATCTCAAACAACCCTCTTCCCCATAACTCGATCGAATCCACTCTCTCTCTCTCCCACAATCTTAAAATTTCTGAAATCATCCTCTCTCTCTTCACCACAAGAAAATTTCGAATTTCAATCTTTCTCTCTTAAGTTTTTGCGATTTCTCTTGTTCTTCATTGTTTTGCTTGGGTTTTGTTTACTGCTCTTCAATTCCTCATTCAACAAGGTATGAACCCTAAAACCCTTGATTCATCCATCTCGATTTCAACTATTGCTTGTTTCCTTTGATTTTTGATTGCATGTGTCCCTTGTGGACTTGTTCTTGAGTAATTGCCCTCATATTTCGCCTCTGCTGTATAATCTTGTTAATTTGTTTCACCTCACCTCTGTTTTGCCTTTAAACTTGTTGCATGTGCTTGAAATTGAATTTGAGTTTGGTATTTGGTTAAGATGCTTAGTCTTCTCTATAATTGCTCATTGTTCCATTTACTAGTTGTTCTTGGTTCAATTTGATTGATTAGCATCCTTTCCAGCTCTTAATCTTGAATTAGGTTTGGTTATACTCTGTTTTCACCCAACTCGATCGAGTTTGTCACTCGAGTTTTTTGACTCGATCGAGCTGAGTGTCGAGTTGACCAAACCGATCATTACAACTCTAATTCTTTGTAATCTTTGATGCATTTCAGGTACTTTAGTGAAGAAACAGAGTAACAAGATGACAAACAGTGAGGGAAGCCGCTTCACAGAGGAGAATGGTTGAGGGTGAATCAAGCAATGCAAGAGAGAAAGGCTTAAGATGCAAGCCGATTTGGAGAAGATGATCAGAGGATGGAAGAATCTGATGCAGAGGATATGTCTACTCTGAGGAACAGTCTGAGAGTGAGAGGATTGAGGGAAGAAAGGAGAACCAAGAAGAGGAATGACCCTATAGTAGTGAGAGTGAGCAAGGGAGTTTGAGATTGGAGTGAACCTTGTTCAAGAGGAGGAAATGGCTCTCCAAATGAAGGAAGGAGTGAGGAAACTGAGAGTGAAGAGGAAGGAGAAGAGGTGAACCAATTGGTTGATGAAGATGACAAGAGGGAACCAAGATGAGCCAATGGAAGAGGCTGAGGAAGAGCAAGAGGAGGATGAGCTCCCCATGTACCAAGAGCACTACAATGCTCTCTTCTCCATGGACTTTGTGGAGACCAAGTACCCACATGATGACACCATGAGAGATCTTGGATCTTTGAGGATGTGGAGTTGGTGCTCAAGAACATGCAATTGGGGAAGTTCTTCTCTCACCGCATGGAGTCTTACAAGGAGTTGACTTGTGAGTTTTTGGCGTCGATGAAGCATCACGAGTTTGATGAGCTCGATCGAGCTGAGTTGGACCAAGGCTGGGGGTACATAACTTTCTTAGCAAAGGGAGAGAAGAAGATGGTGACCTTTAGGCAGCTTGAGATACTGTTTGGGTTCACCTATGGAGAAGGTAACCATGGAACATCAAGGAAGAAGAACTCCAAAGAGTATGGGCTACAATAGCTGAAGAGGGGTACTCTTCCTCAAGGTCCAAGGCTGCCCAGATCAGAAGTCCTGTGCTTAGATATGTCCACAAGGCTCTTGCAAACACCTTCTTTGCAAGGAAAGCCACTGGAACAATCAATGAGGGAGAAGTGAAGCTCCTTGACATGGGAATCAAGCCTATCATCTCACGCACAAGGATGGGAAGAAGATCAGAGGAGATAGGGCACACGCAGGGAATCTCATGCCTCTCCTTGAGCAGCTCCAAGCCTACAAGGTCACAGCTTACAACACTAGGCACCAAAGAGGAAGAAAGCTTAGTGTTGGAGGGGTGATCACACCAATTCTTTGTGCAGCAGGAGTTCAAGTGGACAAGAGAAGGTCTACTCCACCAGGTTGGATGGACATCAAGTTTTGCAAGACCAACCTCCTCATTGAGCACAAGGAGTTGGATGGGAGATTCCAATTCAAGTTCACCATCCATTGGCTGGACCCTCCAAGCTTCTTCTGCCCAACCCTGAGCTCACCACGGTCCTAGGAGGTACAACATTGACTTCAGACCCCCTGTGTACACTTTGTTGGGCATGAAGCGATTTGCAAGAAGAAGAGATCGAGCTCGATCGAGCTGAGGATCGAGCTGAGGCTCAAGCTGAAGATGAGTGCAGGAAAGCGCTGATTGGGTGAGCCTGAGTGCTATTACTTTGAGGAGTATGAGGCTCCAAGGATGAACCCCTCTGTTGTGGCTGCCACAAGAGGATTGGACTTCTCCAAAAGTTCAACAAGTGGCAAGGGAAAGCCATGGAAAGATGCAAAAGTCCATGGACAAGATGGTGAGCAAGATCAAGAGCTTGGAGAAGAAAGTTTCTGGTTCTTCAAGCAAGAAGAAGAAGGCACCCAAGGTCCCACTTTCCCTAGGAGTAGGTCACTCCTCACCACTCAAAGGAGGCTCCCTGCCCAAGAGCCTCACAGAGCCTCTTCTTTCGAGCCAAGGGAAGGAGAAGACAACACGCAGAGAAGGAGGAAGACTTCCAAGGCCAGACGCTCCAGCTCGACCACCGGACTCGATCGAGTCCAAACAGAGGAAACTCAACTCGATCGAGCTGACGGTCGAGTTGACCTGGAGGAGCCCCAGTTTCGAGATCCGGATTTGAGTACGATCCCAGCCTTACCAGGAGCCTCCCCAGAGATGGACCCCTATGGACAGTCGAGCTAGCCAAGCTCCACCAAGGCCAAGGAAGCCACACACATTTCAACGATGAAGAAGAGGAGGAAGAGGAGCCACAAGCTCGATCGAGTGAGCCGCAAGAGGCAACCCCAGTTGCATGGAGTGCTCCTGATGGCCGTCTCCCATCTCCAGACCACGACCTAGTCTCCCAGTTCTTTGGGGGACACTGAGGTATCCAAACACCAACCCTTGTATATACCATTTCATATTTTCTTGCATTTGTTCTTGTTTTTTCTTGGTTTTGCCCTCTTGAATCTTTCACTAAATTTTTCTCACACAAGGGACTGTGTGATTTAAGTTTGGGGGAGGGTTCAAGAGATGATTTAACCTTGTTTTCTTTGTTCTTAGTTTTTCATTTATCTTTTGCATAGAAAAACCAAAAAAATCATAAAATTTTCAAAAAATCCAAAAATATTTTCATCTTTTTGCATTCATATTTGTTAGACTTGTTTAGGATTGCATTTTTCACTTGCATTGTTGATTTGACTTTGAAAACTTGTCCATCTTTTGCGATTTCTTGAGTGCCCTGTTTTTAGATTCTTTTGTGCATTAGGGTGAGATTGATTGAGCAGCAAGAACCATGTTTATCTTGATCATATCACTGCATGCACATCTCATTCAACCATTGCTGTGATTTGATGCATTTCCCTATCTATTTGAACCATAACTTGATCTTTAATTACCAATGCTTGCATTTGATTTCAACTCATGGCTACCACATACATATCTGGACATTCTTTACCATTTTCATATCCCTTTTGCTTGTCCAGATAGCTGATCTCTATCTTTGAGACAGTTACCACACCTTAAACCTAAGCCTTTTCATTTCAAACCCCATTATTATCTCTTGTGCGAATGTGAGAACCTTTCTTGGCTTTGCTTAGCATAAGGTGTTGTGTTTAAACCGGCAGGGGCAGTAGTTCTAGTTGTCTAGTTCTCTTGGGATTGTTTTCAGGCTAAGTTTGGGGGTGCCAACTCGAGCTCGATCGAGTTGGGTGTAAAAACCAGAAAAGTGGTAAAAGTTGGGAAAAACCCAAAGGAAAAAGAGTTTGGTTAAGTCCAGGGAGTTGGCAGTGTTAAAAAGGGTCTAGTAAAGGTTTGGGAAGTTAAAAAAGGAAAGTAAAAAGGGTTCTAAGTAGAATGAAAAGAAGGCAAAGCCTCAAGTGTCCAAAAAGGAAAGAAAAGTTCCCTAAGTGTTTAGAAAATCCCAAACCGCTAGATGTTACCTCAAGAAGCCTCTCCCTAGGAAGTTCTTAAAAGAAAAGTGAGCAAAGCTCCTCAGTTTCAAAGGCGAAATGCCAAAAAGGGTAGTTAGGATTTTGTTCTAAAAAGCTCTAAGTGTTGAACTCGATCGAGTTAGGATTAGGCGGCTCGAGCTGCTGTTCTTGCATCATCTTTGGTTCTAACACTTAGCCTTCTGCCAAAGCAAAGCCACTTTCTTGAGAGATCCCTGTTACTAAACCACCATACAAAAGAGACCCTCTTTGTCTCTTAACCCATAAACCCTTGAAACCAAATGAGTTGATTGATCTTGCATGTTTTTGGTTCACTGTTTTTGCTTAATGAATGTTAAAGGGATTTGCTGATTTGAATGCATTGTTTGAGTGACTGTGAAGTGGGATTGATGTTGATAAGCATGGTTAAATCTTAATGAATATCTCTCACCTTGTTGCATTCTAGAATCTCTAAGTTGGACATTTAGCAAATCGCTTTTGAGGACATGTTTTTAAGTGTTGAATCAGCTATTTTCAAACCTCATCTCTTTCTTGTTCTATTTGTTTGCTTGAGGGCAAGCAAAGTTCAAGTTTGGGGGTGTTGATGTACTTGCATTTTACATAGTTTTAGCACATCTTTTATGCATCTTTTGCATAGTTTTAGCTTCCATTTGCATCATATCTTGTTCCTTTTCTCTTCTTATGCATTCATGTTAGTTTTAGGTTGCATTTGCATACATATGCATGTTTGGTCCTTTGAAATAGGTCTTTTGGAGCATTCTGGAGCATATGGGACAAGGAGCATGGAGGGACTTGGCACATGGAAGCAGCTCAACTGGATACGCAAAGGAAGAAGGGAGAAGCCATCTTGAAGACCAGCTCGACCGTCCACTCGACCAACCGGTCGAGTTCCTCAACTCGACCGGCCAAGCTTCAACTCGATCGAGCTGGAAGTCAAAGTCAAACCCGAAAAATGTTGCTTCCCCCTTGACTTTCCTTTGACCCTAAACCTAATCCTCTTGTATTTAAAGGCTCTAAGCCACGAAAAAACCACCAAGCTTTAGATTATTTTGTTTTAGTTTCTTTTAATTTATTGTCTTTTACTTTTTAGAGATCTAATCCCATCTTTGTGTTCTTGAAGCTCTTGCTTCTTGAATCCTAGATCCTGGATAATCTCTCTTGTATTTGCACTTGCTTATTTCAATAAAAGTTGTTTAATTTCATCTCCTCTTTCTTATGATGTCTCTTTTATTGCATTTGCTTGTGTTTACATTCATGTGTAGTGAGTAGTTACCCATTGGGTTTGAGATGGGATAGATTAGAGGTTTCATATGCTTAATCCTTCTAGCTTATGGTCTTAATCTAGATTCTCTCTCTTTTGGATAGATCTTAAGGCTACATGACCACTACCCCTGGCTTGTAAGTCCTTAGGCGACTCCCCACACGAAAGTGATGGCATTCGCTGGAAAAGATCCACTAAGAGCTCCAATATCTCTTGCTCTAGACAATAGAGGTCTAAGGGGTTGGATGGATTAGTTTGGGCAATGATCCTATAGCCTCCAAGGTTTGATTCTCACTGGCTAACCCCCTGTTTCTGAGATCATTCCTTGGTTGATAGCCTCCACCTTGGGAAAGGGTTGGCTAGGCATTGAGAAGCCCAATATCAAGAGAAGCCTTGATACAAGGAGTTTTAAGAGCTAGATTGATTAAGTGTAGATTCCTTTGATTGCAAAACCCTGTCTTGAACCCTAATTCTCTCTTTATCTTGTTAAAGTCGTCACCTTTAGCTTTGTTTGTCTCAACTCGTCCCTAAACTCGATCGAGCTGGTACTTTGTCTACTCGACTCGAGTCTTGGTCGAGCTGACACTTCACTGCTTTGTTTACTTTTATTGCACTGCTTTTCATTTTTTTAGGTTGTTAGTGTTACTTCAAATCTATAACTGCTTGCTTGACTTTCGGTTGTTTCATATTCTCATAGAGTGACAAGTTTCCCATTTTGGATTGATAACCTCTTATACTTCAATGACTATGATGGTTAAGAGGAATTGATTGATTGTGATTGCACCATACCATCATCTTTATTCACCCTGTTTGCATTCCACCTCATTTCATATCATTCACACACACAAAATCCTATCATCAATTTGGCGCCGTTGCCGATTTGGGAATATTTTTGTTGCATTTGAGTTTCAAACACACTTGGACGATCAAGCTATACCACCCCTGTTCTATTGTACTGCTGGGTTTTTGTCTCTTTTTGCAGGTGTATGCGAACTCGATCGAGTCGGTCAACTGAAGACTTGGTCGAGCTAGACATTACAACGGGTAGAAAGAGGGTTCAGAGGTCACAGAGGGTACAAGAGGAACCTGAGGTGCTTGTTGCTGATACAATGGATGTACCAGAGGGGAATGGAAACCCTTTGGGCAATGGACTCGGTCGAGCTAGGCAAACTCGACCGATTGGTCAAGGAGATGCTCCAAACCGCCACCAACAGAGACAAGGGATTGTTCCACCACCAGTGCAGAACCACAACTTTGAGATCAAGCTGGGAATGATCAACCTTGTCCAGAACAAGATGTTCCATGGATTGCCAAGTGAAGACCCCATTGACCACCTTGATGAGTTTGATAGGCTTTGTGATTTGACAAAGATCAATGGTGTCTCTGAAGATGCCATCAAGCTGAGACTCTTTCCTATGTCTCTAGCTGACAAAGCTCACCAATGGGAGAAGAGCTTGCCCCATGGCACAATCACCACTTGGGATGAATGCAAGAAGGCCTTTCTTGCTAAGTTTTTCTCCACCGGTCGCACAGCCAAGCTTAGAGGAGAGATATCCAGCTTCATCCAGCGAAACAATGAGACATTCGCAGAGGCTTGGGAGAGGTTCAAAGGCTACACAAGTCAGTGCCCACACCATGGATTCAACAATGAATCCTACTCTCCACTCTTTATAGAGGATGCTTGCCTAGGTATAGGGAGATGCTAGACACAGCTAGCAATGGGAACTTCCTCAACCAGGATGTAGATGATGGCTGGCAACTTGTGGAGAACATAGCTAACTCAAATGGAAGCTATGGAGAAGAGTATGATCGCACCAACCGGAGCTCGACCCACCACTCGATCGAGTCAGACGAAAAGTTGAGAAAAGATGTTAAGGCATTGAATGAGAAGTTGGATAAGCTGATCCTAGCTCAGTCCACAATGAAGAAAGTCAACTTTGTGTCTGCTGAGGAGATGGAACCAGTCCAAGAAGGGGAGGATACACAATTTGCTGAGGTATGCTACATGAGCAATGGGCAAGGAGGTTACAACAAAGGATACTATAACAAGTCCAACCCTGCCATGTCATACCGCAACACTGATGTTGCTAACCCTCAGGACCAAGTATATCCTCAACAACAAGCAGCTCGATCGAGTCAGGTGCCACAACATGGGTATGGTCAAAAGAACAATTACCAAGGACCACAAGGCACTTTCCCTGGACAACAAATGAATATCCCACCAGGCTTCCCCCACCAACCGCCCCAGCCTGCACCTTCACAAGAGAATGAGCTCAAAGCAATGCTAAAGCAACTACTTCAAGGGCAAGCTGATGGGGTAGTGGACACAAGCAAGAAGCTAGCTGAAATAAACTCTAAGATCGAGAACCTCAACACAAGGGTTTACTCTCTGGAGAATCATGCTTCTTCTGTTGCTGCTGCTACAAAGCAAGGACAACTACCTGGTAAAGCTATTCAGAACCCCAAGGAACAGTGCAAGGTCATCTTCACTCAAGAAGGACTTGTTGAAGAAGAGGATCAAGAAAGGGTCATTGAAGATTTTTGTTTACTGCTGAATGATGAAGAGATTGTTGCTGCTGAGGCTCCTGGAGTCCAGATTGATCAACCAGAAGTGCATGCACCTACTGTGGCCATTCACACTTCACCAGTTGAGCTCGCACGACAAGCTCGATCGGCAGCTCGATCGAGTCCAACTCTAGCTCGATCGAGTCCGACCTCTTCTGTCCGACAGCCTGTTTTGCTTGATCCTTATCAACCGGTTGCCGCTTCCTCGTCTCGCCTACTTAGTCAAGGTCACAAGGAAGTGATTCACAAGTTCAGAAGAGATCTCAGTGGGATTGGAATTGAGTTGCCTCTATGGATAGCATGAGTGAGGCATTTGATCAAATGCAAATGGTCAAGGATGTTCTGCCAACAGTGATAAAGTTTCAGAGGTCCTACAAGAGTCTACTCATCAGTTCAACCTGCTTACTTCACCCACCTTCCTACCAAAGGTCAAGGATCAAGGGAAATTCACTCTCCCTTGCACACTTGGGCATCTTGAGATTGACAATGCCTTAGTGGATTCTGGAGCAAGCATCAATCTGATCTCTCTCTCCATGGCAGAGAAGCTAGGCATAGCTGGAGCCTTGCAGCGCCCTACTACTTCAATCATGTTTGGAGATGCAACTTACTAAGTCTCCTCTTGGAGTGTTCAAGAACTATCACTTGAAAATTGGAGAATGCATCATCCAAACTGATCTCACTGTGATGGAAATGGAAGAAGAGAAGGATTTGCCTTTGCTATTGGGAACCCCTTTCCTTAGTACAGTTGGCGCTTCAATTGACTTTCACAAGCAAGAAGTGATCCTTCACAAGGTGAATAGTTTGGTCCTTTGCTTCCCGGGTCGCACGGTCTGGTCGGCCGTGATGTGATGATCTCGGTCGATCGTGGTCCATTGCCTCCCGGGTCGGACGGTGCGGTCGTGCGGCCGGATCGGTCCTGGAGAAGGCCGAGCGAAGCCAATACCCTTCCTGTCCGGCCGAGTGCGTTCGGCCGGCTGTGGACCAGTCTTCAGTACAAACGTGATATCTCCTAAACGGCTTATCCAAATTGCATACTTCCAACGGCATTAGAACAATAACTCATCTGGCTATCTTGGTTGAGTTTCATTGAAATCCATTGAGTTTAAGGGTCTAAGCCGCTGCTGCTCGTCTGATGTACTGATGCAGTCCGATAAAGCTCCTCGGTATATGTCTCAGGGAAATAGAGATATCTCCCAATCTACTCGGTCAAATTGATTGATTCCAGTTGAATTGCAAAGCTAACTCATGTATGCATCTCCTCGAACTGGATTTGATGAAGTCCAATGAGTAGAATGTTTTTAAGGCCCTTCTTAAGTTGATGCTACGTCTTGGAGTGGTCTTGAAGTCCAAATCCTGTGTTTTGCTCCAAAATGCATCATTTCACCTGTTTAGACTCTAGACTATAAACACATAAAAACTACCTTTTTAGATAGAAAACCTGCCAAAAACCATTAGAAAACAATAGTAAAACAGTATAAAAAGCATGTAAAATAGAGGTATATCAACTCCCCCAGACTTAGATCTTTGCTTGTCCTCAAGCAAAAAGAATCTAAATCCGTGAAAGAGGTTTGAAAACGTGGAACTCCCTTGCTCTTTTGAATATCCTGTGAAAGGTTCCTTTCCTGTATTCCACTATGAACATAGACAACATAAGGTTAGCTTCACATACACCCTGCAAGTTTAGCGAACAATACCAACCCAACTAGTCTCATCCAGCAATCCAAACTCTCTATTGCTAACCTCTTGCATAAATTTAAAGCGTGAATTCTTTATCAAGGGACATCGATCAATTGAACTTGTTCTTACCCACTTGATCTTCTCCAAGATTGTCTTTAAGTGCAATGAGTTCTTTTCCTCTCTCTTTCTCACATCAGAACTTTGAAAGGTCAATTTCTCCCTACTTTTCTAGGGTATCATTTTATTTTTTCTATTGACCCTTCTTTCAACCACAGGATAAGTCTTTAGCTTGTTCCTTGTTTGACTAAGGTATTCCATAAGACATGAAGGTACAGACATATGCATTCCTCATGCTTACTTGTTTTCCTTGTGCTCTTTGAGCTTTTTCTCATAAACATTACTTACCATTTGGGATGGGAGAGAGAGGAGAACTCTTTAAAGATTAGACAAATCTTATTGAAAATCAAGCAAGGAACTGTCGACATGTATGCCAATCCCCTTGACAAGAGTATTAAGATTGATTAAGGGTGAGGTTAACTCTAGATTGCTTGGTTACCTTAGAAATTTTGCTGAGCTAGCATGTCGATCCACTGTAAGAGCTTCTGTTAGGCTTGTGCCTTTAGCTGATGTCTGCTCTAGGGTCATGATTGTTAGCACAACACTCTCAATTCTCAAAGCAAGTTCATAACTTCCGGACTGGTTTTTGACTCAATAAAACTTTTTGAAAAAATGAAAAGAGAATAAAACATAAGAAAAGACAAAGAAAAATGCATTAGTAACACAAAATCCCCCCAGACTTAACTTGCACCGTCCCGGTGAAAGAAAATCCATTAAGGGAGGAAAAAGAAAGAGGTAATAATGTGTGAGTGAATGAGAAGAAAGATATAACCTGATTAGACCTTAAGTCCATGAAGAAACGACCCATTGGTGATATGTGGCTGTCCTTCTCCTTTGATAGGTTGAGATAGGTCTTAGGTTATCAAGATCAGGGCCGGTTTGGTGAATGGGACACTTCCTCATGTGATATTGGTCGGTGAGTTTTGAATTTCAGGGCCTGGTTCACTCCGGATTGCGTTTTGGCCGAGTATGGTCCATTTCGGTCGTCCGAAAGGGTATGCTATGAACTACAGAACAAACCATGAAGAATTCCTCGACCCATATTGAAATTTCATCGACCAACCTGATATTTTATGCCCACTGATGAAGTTTGAGATCAATCGAACGAGCAGTTTGAGAGATCCTTCACAAAGTGGTCCAATCGGCTCCATGGAGAGGTTTCTTGGCCATCCTTGAGATTGACTCGTTCGTTTTGTACTCTTCCTTTGGAAGTGTGTTAATGAAGCTCCATGAAGTGTTTTCCAGCCGGTGGGTGCGCCTATGCCGTGATTTGGTTTTGTCGGCCATTTTCTTGACCTAGATCAGCCGGATGTGGCTCCTTGGTCTATCTCCTGAACCGTGAACATTTCACCGTCCTATCTGTTTGTATTTGCCGACCAAAATTCGATTTTATGGCCGCCTGTGAAGTTTGGTGGACTTTGGACACACAGTTTGGGAGATGGCCGATGATTATTCTCCTTGTATCCTCCATGGCCGAGAGAAATAGGCCGGTTAGAATATCCTCAAATCCACTCGGGCCAATGAAGATTTTCTTCGACCAAAGTGATTTTCTAACCCTTCTTTATCATTCCCAGGTGTTGGCTGCCTTTTTCCTTGAGGTTGGGTATGAACCTCCTTTGAAGCCTCCTTTAAGATAAGTGGGATGTGATGGATGGTGGGATGGGATGGAGGGTTGTAGGAGAGAGGTCCAGAGGGAACACGGCCGACCATAGATGCGTTCCGGTCAGTCATCGGGATCGGCCCGGCCATATTCGCTCCTTTCTTCATTTTTCTAGGTTTCTTCTCAAATTTCATGCTAGATTTTCAAATCTCTGTATTCAAAACTTCAAAAACAAAACAAAAACATTAAACTAAAACAAAAAGTAAAAAGGGAAAAGAAAACACCTTATGGGTTGCCTCCCATACAGCGCTTGTTTAATGTCATTAGCTTGACGTTATGGCTCTTCTTAGGCGAGTGGGGCATCGACTAAAGGAAATGTTTCTCTCTCATCCTCATCAATGTCTGCGAGATATGGCTTGAGTCTTTGTCCATTAACAGTGAAATCACCTCCAGAACGGTTCCATAGTACAACAGCGCCATATGGTTTCACCTCTTTTATCTTAAAAGGTCCGGACCATCGCGATCTAAGCTTACCGGGAAAGAGTTTCAGGCGTGAGTTGAAAAGGAGAACCTGGTCATTGGGAGAGAACGTCTTGGGGACTATCTTCTTGTCATGATATGCTTTTGTTCTTTCCTTGTAGATCCTAGAATTCTCATAGGCATTATGACGAATTTCATCCAACTCATTCAACTGAATCAAGCGCTTCTCCTTTGCTGTCTTGATGTCGTAGTTCAGCTTCTTTACTGCCCATTCCGCCTTATACTCAATCTCAACAGGAAGATGGCAAGATTTTCCATAGACAAGGTGAAAAGGAGTTGTTCCAAGTGGTGTTTTGAATGCAGTTCTATATGCCCAAAGAGCATCATCAAGCTTTACTGACCAATCCTTTCTTGTCATTCCCACTGTCTTCTCTAAGATCCTCTTGATTTCTCTGTTAGAAATCTCTACTTGCCCACTTGTCTGAGGGTGATAAGGAGTAGCAACCTTGTGTCTCACTCCATTTTTCTTCAATAGACTTTCAAAGACTTTGTTGATGAAATGAGATCCTCCATCACTAATCACAACTCTTGGGATACCAAATCTTGGAAAGATGATCGACTTGAATAACTTTATCACCACCTTGGAGTCGTTTGTAGGGCTGGCTATGGCTTCTACCCACTTAGACACATAGTCAACAGCAACAAGGATGTACTTGTTCCCATAAGAAGAAGGAAAAGACCCATGAAGTCTATTCCCCAAACATCAAAAACTTCCACTTCTTGGATGAAGTTTTGTGGCATCTCATTCCTTTTGCTGATGTTTCCTTGTCTCTGGCAAGCATCACACTTAGAGATGAAGTCATGGGCGTCCTTAAACATGGTGGGCCACCAAAAACCAGCTTGCAAGATCTTAGCCACAGTCTTGTTAGTAGCAAAATGTCCTGCATAGTCAGATCCATGACAAGCAAAGAGAACTCCTGGGACTTCTTCTTCTGGAATACATCTTCTAAACATACCATCAGAACAATGTTTATAAAGATAGGGTTCGTCCCAAAAGTACCTTCTAACATCACGTAAGAATTTCTTCTTCTTGTAGCCAAAGAATTGGGGTGGTGGATGATCAGCAGCAAGATAGTTGGCAATGTATCTAAACCAAGGAGTGTCAGATGGTGCTGGTTTTGGAGGTGCTCTAGGACGTCTCTCAAGGTGGAAAACTTCCTTAGAACTATCTGCATCACACTCTTTAGGCATCACAGTCGAAACCTTGTCTCTTAAGCAACTCTCATGATCAGGGTTCACTGATTTGGTAACTTCGTAAGATCTTATGTAAAGAGCTTGCTTGGAAACGTTTTGAGGCTTCTCCTTCTCTTCTCCATGGTCTAAACTCAATCTGCTGCCATTCCTAATGGTTATACAATAAGAGCTCTTGGTAGGGACTGCTGGATAAAAGACTCTCTTCTTTACTCTAGAGAAAGAAACTCTTTGGTTTGGATAGTCCACATTAGCTCCAACTGTTGCAAGGAAGGAACTACCAAAAACCAATGGCGTTAGGGGTTCCTCACTCATCTCTAGAATATGAAAATCTGTAGGAACAAGACAACCTCCCACTTGTACCAATATATCTTGAGCAAAGCCATATGGGGTAATAGTAGAGGCGTTTCCAAACTTCAGTGATGTTTGAGAGTCTTTAATGTCAACTATTCCAAGCTCATCTGCTATAAGCTTAGACATAACATTCACATTAGCTCCTGTATCGCAGAGGGAATCAATAAAATCCATACCATTGATTGTGCATGGGAAAACAAATTGCCCTGGATCTTCCATCTTATGCAGCTTTCTTTGATGAGGTCCCTTGTAGATTGGCTCATCATCTTCAGGCCATTCCAATGGGTTTTTGACGGTTGAATGATCTCTAGGGGCTGGTGAGACCACGTCCTTGTTCTGAGTTGTGATAACTTTGCAAACTCTTGGATTTAACTCAGTCTTACTTGGAAGAAAACCCTCTTGCCTCTTCATACCTTCTGCTATTTGAGCAACTTGCACCTCAAGCATCTTCACATGATTGGTTAGATCAAAGAGCTTTGCAAATATCTCATCATCTTTTCTGTTGAGATGACCATAGTCGTTCGCCATTTTGACTCAAGGTTTTCAATCTCTTGGGCGTTTTGCTCTTGTCTTTCCATCATATGTTGTTGATTTTCCATTAGCTGTTGCATCATAGCTTCAAGTCTTTCCTCTCTAGCATCAATGTAGTTGACTTCTCCTTGCTGCTTATGAGAGTTATCACCATTACACTCCTCTTTATCCTTACCATGAGAAGCTCCCATGTTCTCACATTGGTATGCATCCCTTTGCTGGTTCTTGAGAAATTGAGCAACCATTGATTTCAGCTCAAGGATTTCTGAAAAGTCTGAACTTGGCTTGATGTGCTCCACGTTTTTCTCATAGTCCAAGCAAGAATATTTGTTGCTTGCAGCCAAGTTATCAATGAGAGTATTGGCTTGAGCAACTGTATTAGTCATGAAGTCCCCTTGACTTGTGATGTTTAGTGCCATCTTGAATTTCTCATCAACTCCTTGATAGAAGAAGTTTAGCAAAGCAATCTCTGTAAAACCATGGTGAGGGCACTCTCTCTTGTACTCCTTGAACCGTGAAACAGCCTCAAAGAATGATTCATGTGCCTCATGTCGAAATTCTGAGATTCTTCTTCTCATCCATTTTAATCTCTCTTTTGGGTAGAAATTCTTCAAGAAAGCTCTCTTGTATTCATCCCAAGTAGTGATTGATCCTGCTGGAAGAGCCCTCATCCATTTGTATGCCTTCTCAACCAAAGAGAAAGAGAATAAAGTACACTTCAAGTAATCCTCAGAAACTCCACTACATCTCCTTGTAGCGCAGATTTCTTCAAACTTCTCAATATGATCAATGGGCTGCTCTTCCTCTAGGCCACGAAACTGATGCTGCTCCACCAAAGCAATGAGTTTAGAGCTTATCTTGAACTCTCCAGTAGGTCGTGGAGGGCATATAGGTTGGCGGTTTGTGAAAAAGATGTCTAGTGAGTCAAACTCTCCAATGGTGCGGTTTTGAGGATCCATTGTGATATCTTCTTCAAGAGGAGATAGCTCAGTCAATGATGAGAAGCCCAAGAAGGAGATCAAGACCTTGAATGACAAACTTGACAAGATCTTGACTGGCCAGCAAAAGCAAGTTCACTTTGTTTGTGAAGATGATATGAACCAAGAGGAGGAGGACCAACAAATAGAGGAAGTGTGCTATATGAGTAATCAGGGAGGTTACTACAAAGGTTACAACACGAACAACAACACGAACCTCTCTTACCAAAGCACCAATGTAGAAAATCCACAAGATCAGGTCTACCCACCTCAGCAAAACCAAAATCAAGGGGGCCAACAAACGGTTTACTTCAAGCGTGGTTACCCACCAAAAGTTTTTGGAAATCAGAACCAAGGTTCAACTCAAGCCCAAGCTAGGAGCAACTCGAGTCAGGACTCAGATATGAAGACCATGCTTCAACAGCTGATCAATGGCCAAGCAAGCAGCGATACTGAGCTCAACACCAAGTTGGCAGAAATTAACAACAAGGTAGACTGCTCCTATAATGATCTCAACAAGAAGTTGGAATCTTTGAACTCAAAGGTCCAACACTTGGAAGCTAATAGCCACAACACACCTTCCTCTTCAAAAGGAATGCTTCCTGGAAAAGCAATCGCAAACCCAAAGGAGTATGTACAAGCAATTACTCTAAAGAGTGGGAGAGTCCTTCCGGTGAGAGTGGTACCATCACGACGCAACGAGGACGTTGCGATTCAAGAGGAGGAGGAGTAAGTCGACATTGAAGCTGAGGAGAGAGTTGAGAAAGAGTCAGTAGAACCAGAGCCTGAAAAGCAGAAGAACAGCGCACAAGAACAGTCAAGAGGAAGCAAGAAGAGGAAGGAAACTCTTTTTGTTCCCCCACCATTCAAACCGATGTTGCCTTTCCCAACACGTTTCAAGAAACAGATGGCGGAGAAATGTAGGAAAGTTTTTGATCAGCAATTGTCAGAGATCAACCTGAAAATCCCTTTTGTGGATGCTCTCACGATGATTAAGCCTTATCAGAAATTTTTGAAAGATGGTATGGTGGTAATGTCTC